ATTCATTTCTTGCACAAAAACTAGCACAACATCCCAGCATCAGTAAAGTAGAGTCACATTAGATCATTGTTTGATGAAGTGCCACCTTCCAGACATGGATAATAAATAACATTTCAAGAATAGTTTCAGAGTAGCAGTTTGTCTGCTACTGTGATGTTTTGCTGGGAAAACAACAACAAAAAAAATTTTCTTCACTGGAAACATGTGCTTCAGTAGTGCTGAGGTGGACTCAAACAAAGCAGTGACTGCAGGATGGAAATGCCTTGACTAGGGCTAGGAGACGTGGGCAAAAATGTAACCACAATAGTTTTTGTCATATTAATCAACACTGATGATTATCCATATGTAACTGCATATCTGAGAAAGGAGACATGCTAGTTGGCTAGGCCTCTAGGACATACAGTGTGATATAGCAAGTGAATGTGATTATTGTTTACAAGAAAACTCCACAGGGGAGCGTTTAACTAGATTTCTGGGGTGTACTCAGTTTACAGAGGTTTGTTATGGTTCTAAACTATCAGTTGCTTTTGAATCGGTGATTGGATGCTTTGTGTAGTGTGCATTTATTCTAGACAGCGTGTCAGTTCTGGTGTGACAATGTGTAAAAGCTCATCTTCCACTTTTCCCTGCCTTCTGCATAAAATTGAAAAATGTTTTCAGCATGGGACTTTATACATTTCCTCCTTGTTTTTTTGATAGTTCTAACTATAGACATCAGCCCATTTAGAGATGAACGACACATCACCACTTCCTGCCACTATGCAAAGGTGCATCCAAAATTTTGTGAATATGGGGCGGCCATCTTGCTTTTGTGATGCACTGTGCAACCAGACTCTGCACAGTAACGACCAGAGGTTGAGCCGTGGTATCAGGCTGCTGATCAGTCAGTTATTTGAAACACACCCATTTTTAAATCATCACCACCAGCTTTGGTTGGATTTGTACTCTGAATTCATAGTTTGGCTCATGTCCCATCTGGGAGCTGTCACATCATCCTTCTTTATAGACACTCTGTGATCCGGCTTCAGAAATCGGAACCGTTTATAAATCCCAGATGTTCCCTGACCTCTCTTTCACAATTTCACTGTCAAGTTGGACATTTTCCTGTGGTTATGTGTGATCTGTGTGTTCGATACACCAACATCGTGGATCACTACATCCCCAACATCTCCGCCTG